TCTTTAACGGACAGTCTCCAGACTGATCTGCGAGTGAAACCTTGAAAGCTCGCGAGATCAGAATGGTCTCACGAGGCTACTAATAGAGGGCTTTCAGGCATGAAACAACTGTTTAAGGTCATGCTTCAGCTCCTCAGCTAGTTGATTGTAGCCTTTGATTAGGACATTACAAAATGTTTGCCTTTATTCAAATAGAACTCAATTTTAGATCATGAGCTGCTGCCCAGAAATTCTCCTTTAGTAAATCTGAGATGAACAGATAACTCTTCAATGAGCAAGAGAAAGTTATCCAGGCTTTGAAGCTCCCGACCATCACACTGCCACCACCGTGCAATGTTGTTTTTTTTGCTGGATGAAAAGAGACCCTTTTATTCTATTTGTCCACAGAATATACTTCCATCCAGGTTGTTTTTGGTAATGGGCCTTAACAACGTGATTTTTGGTAAGTACTGACTGTTGCCCTGAAACGCCCCAATGGCGGCCATTTTCCATCTTCTTCCCCATTATTAAATCAGTAATACAGCTTTAGCTTTTGTCTTTTTTTAGACCTCTTGTGTAACCTTTGATGCCCTCTTGAAGTATTTCCATCAGATAAGGATCTGATTCACTGCTTCCTATTTTGCCAGGACAGTGCAAAGCAGTAATTGAAGCAAAAGGTGGCGACGTTGAAGAACCTAGAATATAAGACATATTTTCAGTTGTTTCACATTTTTTGTTAAGTATACAATTCCAGGTGTTAATTCGTAGTTTTGATGCCTTCAGTGTATGAAAATAAAGAAAACTCTTTGAATGACAAAGTGTGTCTAAACCTTAGGTCTGTACTGTAGATATATATATATATATATATATATATATATATATATAGTTTTATTTTTCTTAAGGAATGTCCGATAATATCATCCGACATTAGCATAGCTGTCTATGTCCTTATCGTTTTTTCCTGATAATGAAAAGTTGATAATATAATGCAAAGATTTTGTGAAATATGCCAGAATTAGCGCCTCTGCCAAAAGGCGGCGCTCCCGGGTGATGTCATTAGACCCACCAAAAAGAAAAGAAGAAGACGAAGAAGAATTCTTCATTCAACTGCGCCGCCCTACTAACTGTTTTGCAGAGGACGCATGTTTCTAAGCCGCTTCAGGAGAAATGACCTGGGTCGTGAGTAATGAGGAAATGGGAAGCGATTCTTGTGGGATGGAAGAAGGAAATAGTGAAAACAAATAAGATTGGAAGAGAGTAGAATAAAAAAAATTAGAAAAAAAGCATAAAAAGCAGAGATCAATTGAAGGGGAGTCCAGTTCGGAACAGTCAAGTGATGAACAATCTAGAAAACACAGGAAAACAGAAAAAATAATTAAACTAATTAATCAGGGAGTCTCTTTTCCAGATTGGAATCTGGTTCTGTTAACAAAATCGATAAACAAACTTGTAGGAGAAATCCAAGATGCCAAAATACTGTATAGACCTGTTAATAAACTGCAGAGACAGCGCTCAAAATGTCAAAGCCATACAGATTAACAAGATGAGGGGAAAAGAGTTCAGTGCAGCTTGTTGGAGAACGAAAGGATTAACAGGAGAGTCATCGGAGAAGTTCCTCTAAAAGTATCTGAAAAAGAGATTCCAGAAAATATAAGTGGTGCAAAAGTAAAAAAAAATGGAGAAAGGTGTGACCACTTATCAGTATTAATCAAATTTGAAAAAGAAGCAATTACTCAGTTAGGTTTTCATTGTATGAGCTTGAGCTACAGTGTAAAGATGTCCAACCCTTCGCATCCGAGATGCTTCAAATGCCAAAAACTCAGACATAAACTAGCAGTATGTAAAGAAGAACAAAGATGTGGAAGGTGTGCTGGAGAGCATGAATATGGAAACTGTGGGAAAGAAGATTACATGCTGCAACTGTGGTGGAGAACAACCGGCTGCATATCGAGGTTGTGTAGTGAGCAAAAGATCTGAAGAGATAAGAAAAGTGAAATTATAGCTCGGAATAACTTATGCTGAAGCTGCAAAAAGGATCCCATCCCAGTCAGAAAGACCTAAAGCAAAAGTTAAAGAAATGAGTCCTCTAAAGAAGTTCAAGACCTCTGAAGGAGGTTCCCAAAACTGCAAAAGTGTCTTTGATGGTAAAAAAGAA